CAAATAATAATCGCCTATTTTCACCTCTTCCGCCAACGACGCGTATCGAGTCTGCAAAAATTCCTCTCGTTTCGAATAAAATGTTCGCAATAAACCGCAAAAAATACATGCTCATCGCTTTGGAAAAATCCGCAAGAGAAACAACTGAAATTAAAAATTGTCACAAAAAATTTAAAATGCCTTCAGCTGAGAATCGACCTGAAATTCGGTGTGGTTCCATGAGACCGGTACATTCGTGACGGACAGTTCCTTTTCTTGTTCCAGCAAACGCAACTCGTCTTCGATGGATCGCCGGAATTCCTCGCGTGTTTTTTCGTTCCAAATCAGGTCCGCCTGAATACTCCAACCCGCTTGGCTCGAGCAATTTTCATTTACAATCATAAATTTCCACGAAATATTCCAAAATTATTTCAAATATTCTCAAAGAGTTGAACAATGCCAACAAATAAAAACCTTGCAGTGATCTTTTGCAAACTGATAACTGAACATTTTCCAATTCACCGAAGTTTTCACACGTTGACGACGTTTCCTCAACACCACGGGTCGTTGTGTCTTATCCTTAAATGAGTAAACATTTCGAAATTTTCGACGAGAATCCCAAAAACTTCCGATCATTCAACAAATTTCAAAATCCCAGCTATTAATCACGAAATTCTCCAATCGCACCAACCTCTTTTCTCTGCAAGAAATTTACTTTCTGCTGCAAATTCCAGTGTTGCAATAGTTGATCGAGTTTCGCTTCTAAGGTCACTTGGACGTGTTGAACTTGCTCCTTCAATAGAACACAAAAGAATAATGTGGCTTTATTAAGAACGCAAAAATTGCATGTGAACAACAAGCATAAAACTGAAGAACTCTTCACTCCATCCAAAGAATACTCCAATACTCTTTACTCTCCATATAAAATAAAAAATTTCGAGTGCGAGAAAAGAAGAACAATTTTTTTAAATCGAAAATATTTCTGCAAAACTCACCATAAACGCGCTCTGCTTTGACTCTGCGCGAGCCATTTCCAGGTTATTTCTCGTAAACAAACGAACGGAAACTAAACAAAAAATTCAAGCCAACAGACGAAAAATGCGAGCGAGTAAACAAAAAAGTAAACAAATAAACAAAAAACCAAACAAATTAAATAAAAAAAGTAAACAAATAAACGAAAAAGCAAACAAATAAACAAAAAAAGTAAACAAA